CACCAACTCTAGTGTAGATTTACGTTCTCTTGCTGCTAATGAACTGGTATTAGAGCAGGTGTCGAAGGACCATGAGTTAAGCCCGACTCGAAACACCAACGGGTTAGGAGATTCTGATACCCAATCCAATCTGGTTTTGCTACCAGATGTGGTAGACTCAACCCAAATTTGTCAAAAATGTGAAGAGGGATTAAGAGTACAACTTATGGTAGGGCAGGATATACATCACGGCTCAACTGATCAGAATGATGGCCTGGCCGAATCTCTTGAACTGGATGTACATAAGCAAAAGGATAAGTTTTCTCTGGCAGAGACATTCATCATAAAATTTTCATTACCCCCAGCTTCCAAGAGTGCGCATATCCCCTTTTGCTGCCGATTTCATTCCAATTATGCCCAACACTTATGCAGCTCTCTTTGATCAAGTCGACCTGGAAGATGGCAGCCCACTCAAGGAAGATGAGTTTGACAATTTTGATGAAGAGAACCTGGTACTAAGTAACAATGCACTAGAAGACATCGGGGAAGATAGAGAGGGGCCTATTCTATATACCCACTCTGAAGGAGCAGACAAGGCCTTCAATGACAACATTCTAAAACCTCTTCAAATAGATTTCTCTAGGATGTTCAAAACACCTTTTGATTTGGGGCGAGAATTCACGGGCAGGATCACCTATTCTCCTTCTCAAATTGTAACACGAAGTAGGGCAAAGATTTTGGAAGAAGGAAGAAAGAAAAATACACTTGCTTGGGAGGAAAGATCAGATGGTTCAGAGATTAACTTAGCAGAAGACATTAGGAATTTTTTCATGGAATGTTGTCCAAACAAACCAGAAAAAATAACCAAGAAGTTGGACACATTTAAGCCGTTAACCAAGAGCCAAAAGAAAAAGTCTAAAAAGAAACTTAAGAAGCAAATGACAAAAGGGAAGGAAAAGGAAGAATCTGATTGACTGGAGATATTTGACTAGTTTTCTAGGACATTTCTAGGCTCTGATTTGCTCTGTGCTTCCATAGGGTTGAGGGGAATCATGATTGATGAAGATTATTAAAATATGATCTATTGGGCTGGACTAGTTAAGGGCCTAGTTTGCTTTAGGGCAATTTCTATCTTGGTTTCTCCTATTTGCTGGTTCTCCTTGTTGACCCTTGTGTTTTGATAATGACAACTATCTCATGGGCTTAGCACTTTGGATGTTGATCTTCACAATCATGCGTTGGATCTCAAGACAAGTGTGAAGATATAGTGTTTTTGGTTTTCGTTTTGGTCTTAGCATTTTTGTTAAAGTGTATGGCACGTTAGTTGTTTTTCCTCTTTGAAAATGTTTTCCAAAAGCCCTTCAAATTGTTTTTGAGTCACTTGCAAAATCACATTTTCAAAACTGTGAAAACTATTCGAAAAATTCTTGTTTTATTCGAATAAGTTAGAGTTCTCAGTTCTGTCCTATTCGAATAGTTAGCAAATTATTCGAATAAGTCCTGAAGCTCATTTCTTCAATCCTACAGTGACTTAGTCGAAAAAGTCTTCACTTAGTCGAATAAGTCTGCGTTTTTCGCTCTGAACTATTCGGATAAATCTGATTTTATTCGAATAAGTCGTCAGTTTGAACTGCAGATTTGTCAGCTTTTAGGGAAGTTATTCATCCCTATCTTCCATAACTCTCATACAACGGCTCTTTTTCTTGAAGAACATTATATATATCCATTCAAACATATTCTTTTAACAATCCAAGCATTTCAATTCATACTTTTGATCCTTCAACAATACTTCCAAGCAGTTCTTCAAGAAATCAATATTTGCTTGAGTTTTGGAGAGTACTAGTGGGCCATACTATATAAGTTCTTGTATTCTACAGCAATCCACTCTTAATTTGAAGAGTATTTCTGCTGTGCACTTTGTTTTGGAATGGTGTGTGAATTGTAAAAACTTGAAGTTGTTATAATTCAAGTTTTGGAGAGAAATCCTAAGTCTTGTGAAATCAAGACTTCGGTGGAAAGGTTAGAGGCTTGTGAATTCAAGTTCTCGAGTTGTAATCGGATTGTCAACCTCCGTTAAGGTTGACGAAGTTAGTGGAATCTCGGGCACATTTGCTTCGGGGACTGGATGTAGGCATTAGGCCGAACTAGGATACATCGTGTGTTGCTCCTTCTCTTCATCCTTGTCTTCTTGTGGTTGATATACTCCTGCAAATTCTTGTTTAATCTTCCAAAAGTTTTGATTTTTGAAGAACACCTCTATTCACCCCCCCCCTCTAGAGGTGCGTAAGTTGTTCAACAATTGGTATCAGAGCAAGGCTGCATTTCCAAAGCTTTACCGCTGGAAATCTAGATCATGGCCGGAAGAACATTTCAAGCCGGTGTATCCGAAGGACAATCTACTACACGTCCTCCATTCTTTGATGGTACAAATTATGCATATTGGAAGGAAAGAATGAGGATATTCATACAATCAAATGATTTCGACTCATGGATGGTAATCAAGCATGGAAACACTACCCCTGCAAATATTGTTGATGGAATTCGTGTTCCCAAGTTGGAATTCGAATATGATGATCAAGACAAGAAGAATGTCATGCAAAATGCCAAAGCCATCAACTATCTTTATTGCGCAGTCAACCCTGATGATTATAGGAAGATATCAAGATGCAAATCCGCCAATGAGATGTGGACTGAAGATTGAGTTTTAGTGGAAGTAAATTTCCCTCTAAAAGAGTTCAATTTATTCCCGTGTCGTATTCACAAGGATTGGCATGTAAATAAATTTTCTATTAAAAACTAGTTAGGCAAGGCGTAATGATTGGTATTGGAAGTTTTCTAATTTCGAAAAGTTGGGTTGATTGAACAGAATAATAACTTGATTGAATTGATAAAGAGGAATATGAATTGATTTCAGGTAGAAAGCAATTTTCAGATATCTTAACTAGTTGGAATACCAAAATAATTAATTAATTGTTTAGTGAGAGTTCTGTCACAACTACTCCATTAATTATATCTTATCTCTAAGTTTCATTAATGTGCTAGTATTGGTTGACTAAATTATTTTTCACATTCATAGACAAATGGATATAATAATTTTTCAATTATTAATTAATAAATTGGCCAGATAAAATAATTATAACATTACAACAATTACTAGCAACTTAACATTTTAATTAATTAAATTTAATATTCCAACTTAATTAAATTTATCCTACATACCTACTACCCTATTTCAATTCACATTCCTAAAATATTTAAGCAGACATGATAACAATTAAATGCACACAAATTAAATAACATAACATTTTCATAAATATTACAGAAAACTTACAACTTCCAGAAAAAAGCGGAATTGAACAATTCTGGACTTGAAACTCCCAAAATAAATAAAAACTAAATTTCCTTATAGAAATTTCGTAACTAGAGAGAGAGGAGAACAAAAGTTGTGAAGAAGGGATGGTTGGAATGGCAGGGGAAGCGCTCCTTTTATAGCCTTCCGGAAACCCAGGCGCGCGCCTGACGCTGAGGCACACGCCTGTCAGGCGCCTGGGCATCTGTTTGATTGGATTCTCCGCCGGAAAATCTGATTTTGCACCGTTTGAAACGTCACACCCACAGGCGTGCGCCTGGGGCTGGGGCGCACGCCCCTCAGAGGCTTGGGCTGAACTTCGGCCCAATTTTGGCAATTTTGATATTTTGATCCGTTCTTTTTTGCTCTAAAGCCTGATTTGGTCTCTTCTTCACTTGTGATCATCAATTTGAAATATTTTTCTCCTTTTGGCCATGATATGCCTGGAAAAACTAAATTTAATTTTGAACAATCTTCTTATTAACATATTTGTAAAATGACTTATTATCATAAAAATTTATTTGAAATTCTTGATTTATGTTTGTTTATGCACAAGAACGTTGAAATATATGATATAAAATAAGACCAAAAAATTGGACTTATCAAATTCTTCACACTTAAATGTTGCTTGCTCTCAAGCAACAAATTGAATAATTAAAAAAATTTGAACTAAATGTATGCACAAAAAAATATTTTACACAATCTATTTATAGGAACAAAATATTAGACAGTCATCAACCTAATTTGATAAAAAGAATTTTTACTCATTTTGAAAGAAAATAAATTCTTTTGTCAAACTCAAAATTTTGTTCAAATTAAATTAATCTAGGTTTCAAAGATTAAAATTGAAGAATATTAATAAGACTAAAATCGATGTTCTCTAAATTTAAAATAACAACTTTTTTATATACTAAAATAATTATAAGGTCAAAGAATCTTTAATGATTAAATTAAAAAATTGTTCCTTGAAAAAGTTACTTTCATGATTTTTTTTTGAATAACATCACTTTGTCATGTTGACACGAGAACAAAGAATTTACATCCTCATCCCGTGACATAGAACCACGAGCTTTTTGGATTTTATTTTCTCTCAAAAACCTCATCACGCAACATAGAATTGCGTGCTTTTTGGAATTCTCCCAAAAAATTAAATCTCATCATCTGACATAGAACCAGATGCTCTTTTATTTCAAATTTTCACTCGAGAATTCGGTCTCACCAAAGTGTGTTTTATTTAAATAGAACTTTTAAAGAAACAATAAATGCTCATATTTAGAAATAGCGGAGCAGTATCTAAAAAAGATTTCTAATAAAATGATTAAAAAAAATTGACCTTACAAAATATCTTTATAGAAAATATGTTAATTCAAACATTAGAGAACATGATATTAAATCTACTAATTTAGACTTAAATTCATCAATTCATACCAAAGATCTTCAAAAAATTAAACAAAAATCTAAGTTTGACAGAAAAAATTATATTTTTTTTGGGTAAAAATATTTTAGAAAATTAAAGCTGATGACTGTATATATAATTTTCCTAAAAATATAAAGATGTAAAAACTTTCTTCAGAGTTTTCAACCATAATTCTATCCTCCTCACACTTAAGCGGAACCGCGCCCTTGCGGGTTTAAAAGTGATAAGAAACTAGAGTTATGGTGGAAAAACTCAAATGCACAAATTAAATTATTCTAATACTTAAAGAATTCAAAATGAAGATTGAAACAGTGATAAATCAAGAAAAGAAAATTTTGGGGAAAAGGGCGTATCGCACAGTAAACTTCCCCAGGATTGTCTCCACAAATGTGTGCATAAAATGATTGTTCAAAACAAAATCCAGCATCCAAGCAACCTGGTCAAATCACAAGAAAAAGCAAGTACAAGTCTAAAAAAGTAATCAAAAGATCAGAATCGGGGTGGGTTTGGGTGCGTGGGTGCGGCATCTGATGCATTAGGAGTCAAAGTATGCCCAGTCGAAGGGTGCTGAACTGGTGTCTGAACCGGAGTACCGATATTGAAGAAGCTAGTCCACTGAGCCTCCTGCTGGTCGACAAGCCTGGTCATATCTGCCTCGTAACGCTGCTCAAATTCGGTGAACCTCGTGTGCAACTCCTCCAGTCTACCATGAATCCCACTCATGTGGTACTGAAGACCCTGCATCTGAGTACTCAATGTCTGTGCCCATAGGGGTATCTGAAGGTTCTCCACCCCAGTAGAGCTCTGTCCCTGCTGAAATGTACTTTGTGGCTCTGGTGCAGGATGAGGTCGAGGTGATGGCCCCTCTCGGTCTAATCCTCCGTATCTGACCTCTCTGAAGTCTAATGTGCTGTATCATGGTGCTGTCCAAAAGTCGAACACTGTGCTCATGGGGTAAGAGGTCAGGAATAGGCATGTGCTCTTGTAAGGACCTGTGAAGAAGTGTGATCAACGGGCCATAAACCACCGTGATACGCGTACCATATGTCTGAGACCACAAGAATCGGGCGATGAAAACAGCCAAATTAACCTGTCGCTGAAGTGCTATGCTCCAGAAGAAGAGCATGTCAGAAGAATAGACCCGATTGCTGTTACTAGGTCTCCCAAAGTAGCTCATGGACATCAGGAATGTGAGAAGCCTCCCGATTGCTGTTACTCGGCCCAGTCAGAAGCTCGACTAAGCTGATGCTCGAAAGGGGCATCAGTGTGTGCATGTGCAGTCCAAAAAGCCTGGACGTCGAAGTCCTCAAGAACAGTAATGGGAAGGTCAGGAAAGGATGAATGTGAGATCTCCTCCTGAGTATATAAGCCTAATCTCCACCCAAGCTCAGCGACAGTAAGAGTATGCCGCTGACCTAGAAGAGTGAAAATGAGGCGGCTGTCATGCCTCATGGCTATCCCCACGTCATCTCGCCGCTCAAACCCCAACAAAGGCCGCAATGAGCACAGAAACTCAATACTGAGAGGCAAGCTAGCCTCAGCTCGTAAGGAAAGTAAACGCTCCCAACCACATGGCCTAATCGAGGCCTCAACATCTGCCCAAAGATCGGTGCTAGGCCCACGAGGGGTCTCTGATCAAGAATCACTGGGGCCTGTAAAGATCGGTGCTGGGCCCACGTAGTGAATCGCTCTTGAGCCTCCAGAGTAAGAAGTGGCAACTGAAGATCGTGTGCCCTCCTGAATGGATCAATCGGTGCTCCTTCCATCTACAAAAATTAAACAACGGTTAAACTTGCCCCCAAATTTGGTACGACAAGTAAGCACTCAACTCTTTTTTGTAAATATAAATATATTAAAAATGGTAACTGGACCAATTCAGTGTATTCGGGATCGGGAAGAATGCTGCCAATTAGGTGCTCTTAGGCTCACCCGAATAAACCTTTCCACATAATGACCCAGTAGGAATGGTGGGACAAGTTCGGCTCCCGAAGGCGTCACCCTTTGTGTCCACTTAAGTACCATTCCAGCTTAGACAGTCATTCTGTACATGGTACAGATATCAATTTTAACACATAAATACAAAAAGCTCTCTCTCTCTCTCTCTTTCTTTTTTTTTGGTGTGATGATGACGGGTTGCCTCCCGTTCAGCGCTTCTTTAACGTCGTTAGCTAGACGCTTTTCTCTTTCTTCAGGCCTCCAAATTTTGGAGGTACATTGCTGTTTTCTCTCGAAACACATCTCATCCTTCAAATTTCTTCAGGCGGTGACCATTGACCTTGAATTCACCATTCTTCCCTCGAATTTCTACCGTTTCATACGGATATACTTTCACAACTTCAAATGGACCAGACCAACGAGACTTCAGTTTCCCGGGAAACAACCTCAACCGGGAATTGTACAGAAGTACTTGGTCCCCTTCATGGAATTCTTTGGACTGTTTAATATGCGCATCATGATATTTCTTGACGCGCTCTTTGTATAGTAGATTATTGTGGAAAGCCAGCGTTCTCCACTCATCTAACTCGTCTAGTCGGTAGAATCTTTCCCTTCCTGCTGCTGATGAATCTAGACACACATTTTTGAGTGCCCAAAGCGCTTTGTGTTCAATCTCGACGGGCAGATGACAAGATTTCCCGTAAACGAGATGGAAAGGAGTAGTTCCGATGGGAGTTTTATAAGCAGTTCGGAAGGCCCATAAGGCATCATCAAGCTTCAAACTCCAGTCCTTCCGAGTTTTAGCAACGGTCTTTTCCAGGATCGCCTTCAGATCTTTGTTTGTGTTTTCCACTTGGCCTTGAGTTTGGGGATGGTAAGCAACACCCCCTGTGTGTTGGACTCCATATCTTTGCAAAGTTCTGGCCAAGGGATCATTCCGAAAATGTGTCCCTCTATCACTGATCAACACTCGAGGTACCCCAAACCTCGCAAACAACTTCTTCAAGAAACGCACCACCGTGCGCGCATCATCCTTCTGACAAGCCTGGGCTTCGGCTCACTTTGAGACGTATTCAACAGCCACCAGAATGTATTTATTTCCATATGAGCTCGGGAATGGTCCAACAAAATCAATACCCCAGACATCAAATACCTCACAAGGAAGTATGTAATGTTGCGGCATTTCATCTCGGAGAGTGATGTTACCCGTTCGTTGGCATTCCTCACATCTGGTCACAAATATTTGTGCGTCTCGAAAGATGGTGGGCCAAAAGAACCCACTGTCCAGCACCTTTCGTGTAACACCCCACCCTAGATGACACGAGTCATCCAGACCAAAGTGCTAGTAAAACCCGGTTGCTTTGTAAAAATATTATTTATCTGAAAAAAAATATATTTTCTCTTTTTTTTAACTAAAGAGAATTAAAAAAAACATTTTACGCGTAAGCTTAAAATAAAAACATCCACAGTTAATACAACCTTGGCTTCAAGCCCAAAAACATTGTAAATTAAGTTCGATGCTTTAATCATCATTAAATATTAAATAAGAACTCCTTCGGCACGGCCTCCTCGTCCAAGCTTTCCTCATCAGCAGTTGTTTTCCTTGCTAGTACCTGCGTGCAGTTAAACACTACACGCTCATCATAAGCTGAGTGGCAAATAACCAGTAGACATTTATAACATGTAAATATATTTTGGGCTTTTTAAGTTATTCAAATTTTGTTTGTTTTTTTTTTTTAAAAAAAACTTTTTTGCATAATTAAAAACATTGAGGAAATAATCTCACTCTGAATAGTTACTTGGGGACATTTAGAAAACACTTGACTTACTAGGTTAACCACAGATTAGGACTAAGCCTTGACTAGGCTGGAACACCGCACTAGTCGATACGTAGTTTTACTTCGGATACCTCCCCGTGACCTCGGGTCCAGTAATCAGAAGTGAACCCTAGACCCACGGGGTCATCGTCGGGTTCTCGTGCGCACGTTGTGGTATGATTGTTTATAGGCTCATCCACATGGACACGGTCCGGCCTTGAAAGTGGTTTGACCCACATGATAAAAACGTGACAGTACTTGGTCAGAGTACGTCGATATATAAATCTTGAACTTTTACTTAGTCCACTAATTTGTTTGATTAATCTGGTAAAGTCGTTTACATAAATCGTGTTTTTTAATTTCTTAAAAAAACCATCATACGATATTGTCCCCTTTTCATTTTCTAAAACATAATGCAACTTGATCAATTAGACATTCAAAGCGTAAAAACAATTTACAACTCTATTCATTAATCAATCATATACCAATATTTTTAAGAAAACAAACATACCAATTTTTTTATACTTATTGTCACTTACGACATGGAACAAAAACAATTTAAATGGAATCGACAAAAGTTTATCATGACAAATAGAGTTTTATTTTTTTTTGTTTATAAGCCAAACTGTTTTTTTTAAACCTTCGACCAGACTGTAGTTTGATCAATCATAACCATTGATTATGATTAATCATAATAAAACCTTCGGCCCTTACTATTTAAAAACAAAACTTTTTGTTTTTTAGAGAAACAAACGGTTTTTTTTAATTAAACCTACCGCCGAAAGGAAAGTCATCCTACTAATCATTTTTTTTTGGTTATCAATTATTTTTTTTAACCTTTGGTTAAAAACTTTTTTTTATAGAAAAGATAATAGTGGTACCAATAATAATAATACTAACAATAATAATAAGAAAGATAATAACAATGATAATAAAGAATAAAACCGCTGCCGATTGTATAATCACCATACTAATCAACTTTCTTTTTATTATCACTTTTTTTCCTTAACATTCGGTTATATATATTTTTTATATAGAGAATATAATGATGGTACTAATACTAATAACAAATATAATAACAATGATGATAAAGAATAAAAACTTCATTTATGCCATTACCGAAAGTGTGCAATTGTATAATGACTAGTATCCTCCTCTTTTAATTGATTATCTCAAAGAGTAAATTCATGTTAATACAAATAAAAGGAAATGCACAAAATATATTAACATGAAATATATATCTAAAGGTTAGGGTCAACGGCACACCTTAGCTTCGATATCGGTTAGACAAAACACTAGCTTGATGATGTTGACAGAATGATTTCATGACGACATCTCCCACGTCGATCTCCACCTTGACTATACCGCAACCCATTTTTACACACCTATCAACCCTTTTTTTTTTTTGTTTTTTTTTTTTAAGTTTTATCCCCAAGTGGCTATGAGTTTCTCTTCCTAAGGGTCCCTAGCTATTTATAAGAAGGGAAGAAAGTTCTAGAGAATGAATGGGAAGTGAAGGCACACAATACTTATACGAAAAGCGTCTAAGAAAAAAGATCTTGAATGCCAGTCAAACATTGGGCAAACATAGCATGGTGATAAGGTAATTATTAAGCAAAATGAAACTGGATACTGTAGTTTGTAGCATACAGCATAAAAGGATAAAAGGCATTAGAGAATACAACAACAAAAAGAGACACAGTAAAATCTCCCGGTGTAGTAAAAAGGATACATTAAAAATAATGGTATATTTAAACTAAGGTTAAAAAAGAACCTGAACGTTTCTTACTATTGTAGAGGCCATCCGAACCTGCAAGAAGAGAAAATACACAGTTGGAAACATTAAGCTTCTATGAGAAAATAAATTTTCAAATGAAGAAGGAAAAAAACCTAAAGAGAATATCAATAGACTGAAAATTAAGAAAGACAGGACCTTTAGGTGCTGGCCAAAACACCAAAAGGTTTGGATATCTTTAAGATGACCAGTTTGGGTGCATGCACAGTGCACATTCCTTAAAAAATAAGAAAATGATGAAGAAAATGAAACATATGAAAATACACTTTTAATCTTTTAATTTTAAGATACATTAGGGCTTTAACTCTAACTTATTAAACTAAACTACGCTATCACCGCGGCTTAATTGTTTAAACTATGTTACACTACTTTATAGTTTATGCTATGATATTAAACCATGCTATTGATAGGTCTATCTTTAAAATTTAAAAGATTACTATTATGATCCAGAAGAAATTCAAAATGTAAAGACTACTAACCTGATTAGGTACTTATAGCCATCTTATGACTTTAAAAAGAATTCATAAATAAATTTGGAAAAGGACACTGGAAAACGAAGTTTAAATCTTTATAAATGAAGAAGCATTGGCAAAAGAAAATAATTCTTTAATTTAATTACTATTTGGTTTCGTTGATGCTTTGGACTTGCATCTCCAAGAGTTCTATCTTCTTTTTCGGACCAAATTGAAGACAACACCCGGATTATATTTTCTGCAGCCAAAGAATCCATGACATTCATTAAACTTAATTTCTAAAACATAAACCAAAATGGACATTACAACACATGGCACCGAGAGAATGAATTTTACACCAATATTGAAATAAGCTGAATTGAAAACAACTCTAATTATAAAACATTATTCGAAACATGAAGATTAAATAGGGATGGAGGGAGTATTTTCGTACCCATACATATCATGTGTCTTAGAAAATTGAGAATAAGCATTAGATAAAATACTAAAAAAAATTAAATTATGGATATATATTTGAATTTTAAGTGTCCAATTATCAAACCATTATCGGGTAACCTTCTTCCATTAAAGCATACATATATGCCAAATTGTGAAAGAGAAATAGACGATTCAAATTGTGAAAGAGAAATCATCTCAGCTTTGAATGATTCAAACAAAGGAAACCACGAATACACGAAATAGGTATGGAATTCGAGAGCCCAGAATCTGAATACACAAAGTTATGAATTGAATAAGAATTGCATATGAATCTGGGAAACAAACCTGAAACTCGAATTGACGCCGAAGAATATGTGGATCTTGACGTTGTAGATTTCAGCATTGACGCCAAGATACCTATATATAATGGGTAATTGGTCTGGTACCGGACGTGTCAACTAATGAGGGTGGAGGTAAATAACATATCAAAATTTGGATTAAAAAAAGATTTGATACCCGATATAGTCTCTGTGCCATCAACTTTCTTTTGGACTCGATTTGGTCATCAAACATGCAATTTTATGTTTTTTGCACATTGCACTCTAATTATGTTCCATATTAAATTTGAGGAATAGTGTAGAAAGGAGGGATTAAATGGGTAATTAATTAAATATTGAAAAAGCTAACCCGAAACGGGTGGGGTTGCAGGGTGAGGCTAAAAGTGCACAGCTGATTGGGCAATCATAGCAAACAACCCGGCCTTCATCATGCTGAGGAAGATTGAAGCTGCCAGAGAAATTGCTAGCACCATATCAAATTTATCGAAAAGAGTGTACCTTGTTGGCCATGTGTGCAGCAATTGTCCCGTGGCGGAGGCTATGTGTGCCAAGTCACAGTCGAATGTCGTGGGCGCTTGTGTGTTGAATGCACTATAAGGCTAGGGTATGCGCCTCTTCTAACACCAATTGGTTTTAGAAGAGTTGGTAGCGCCTGAGGTCCTACAAGTGGTATCAGAGCCAAGGTCACGAGTTCGATTCCCAGCGGGAGCAATTGCTGAGGGGGAGATTGTTGGCCATGTGTGCAGCAATTGTCCCGTGGCGGAGGCTATGTGTGCCAAGTCACAGTCGAATGTCGTGGGCGCTTGTGTGTAGAATGCACTATAAGGCTAGGGTATGCGCCTCTTCTAACACCAATTGGTTTTAGAAGAGTTGTAGCGCCTGAGGTCCTACATACCTGAGCTGACAACTAAAAATTAATCATGACAATGCTATGAACCAAATAAAACTGCACATCAAATATTCAAAAAAGTTTGATAAGATGATAATTTGGAGAAACCATTAATACTCTGTATCGTTTAACCTTTCACATTAAGCCTGCAACATCAATCAAACAATTGGTTTTTCGTGGGCAAATTTGACAAAGTAATATGCTTATCTCTTCATCCAATATTGGATAAAATGGAGATTTAAATCTTGATGATTTGCTTGGACAGATGAGAAATTGAAACTTAAAAATTCAGCCAATAACCTTGATGGAGAAGAGAATTGAGTTTCAAACATGGTGGGTCATCGCGTACATGTCGCCTTCTCCAATCGTCTGGATCTGTCTCTAGGGTTTTTATAACTTTGGTTGTTAGGATGTGTTGTCTAGCGGCTTGAGCTCTGTATCTTAATTGCTATAGCCACATGGAACGATGAGTATGTAAGGGTAAATGTATTTGGAAACGAACATATATAATTCTTGAAGCCACGAAAACTTCTGATCGCAATTAGAGATTCACGTAATCTTCATCAATATAATTTCATTAAATTTTATTATCAAATACAGAGAAATTAGTAAAGGAGACGAATAATTCGACAAAAAATGAAGAGATTCAGAGTAATCAGGCCTCCTATGTTTCTTCTACAACGGAGTATATAACAAAACAATACAATTCTATTATATTATTGAGTACAAATACAAAGTAAAATTTTGAATGAATAAACACAAAGTAATTTTCCTTGGAAAATACGTAATGCACAAAATAGAGTAATTTGACCTCCTATGTTTCTTCTACAGCAGAGTACATAAGATAGCAATACAATTTTATCAAATCTAATATCAATTTAGTCAATTTCATTGAATAGAAAAAGGGAACTTACAGTAGACATGATCAAAATTGGAAATTTCGAGATCACGGAGGAGAAATTTCACCACCAGCGAAGAAGGATAGTCCGGATCTGGCCAATTAAGAATGGAAATTTTGATATACCCAAAGAAGGAGGAAGATAGAAGATGAAGATTTCCATGCCATCCTGGTAATTTCTTAAAGCAAATAAGAGAAACCAAATCGGCTCGATTTCGAGTAGACGTGAAAACGATTTCCAGCCAGCGAAGAAGATATGGGTGAAAAGATTTCCTTCCCTATCTTTGTCTTTTCCTTCATTGAAAAACTGCATCGGAAGAAGATTTTCAGGAAGAAGATGGATTCTTTCCTTTTGGGATCGCGCCGGTGAATTTTTTTGGGAGACGCGTGTCTGGGAAGCTTTTCAGAATTAACGGAACACTACAAAAAAGATTACTTTTTGTGGCATCAAATTTTGCCACAAAACATAAAAAATTAGCCACAATACACTTTTGTAGCAATTCTCGAATTTGCCACAAGGTTGCCACAAATACCCCGTTACAAAATGTATTTGTGGCAAATTAAAATTTGCCACAAAAATCATGACTTTTGTAGCAAAATATAATTTGCCACAAATAATACTTTGCCACAAAAGCTCATTTTTAGTAGCAAATTTGAATTGCTACAAATAATTATTTGCTACAAAAGGTCATAATTAGTAACAAATTTATATTGACACAAATTGTACTTAGCTACAAAAACTCATTTTTAGTAGCAAAATTAATTGCTACAAATTCTTTTTCAGATTGCAAAGTACTTTTTTCAAACTAAACTGTTTTATTAAAATAGGAACGTAAAGGTACAAAGGCATGCTGTGTAATGCCCAAAGCTAAAGTACAAAACAAAAACAAGCCATGAAATTACAAAATGTTTAAAGTATCATATCAGTAGCTATATTACAAGCTTAAAACATAGCTATGCCTTCTAGGGAGTTTACAACAAAACCATTCTAGATTGGTGTATAATCCATCTGCAATTTCGGCACCCAAATAAAGCTTCATAAAACCGGAAGAATGAAACTAGTAAATTTCCAAGCCAATATAACTGGTAAAGTGCAAGAGCAGCGTCAATATACACTTCATCAAATAACTCCCCTAAAACCAATTTCTCTGGAACACAGCAGATATCTCCTCAGCACAGCAAAACTATAGGAAAAAAGATGCGCAGGAGCCCGAACTATCAACTCTGTCAGGATATATGATTCCTTGTGGAAAACACGTGCAATCTGCTAACGAAACATCAAGGTAATTTGAAATTAAAGACGTCAAGCCCAAGTTTTTTTTACAAATATAGAACAAAAAAAGAGGTTTAGAGATTACAGGATTTTAAGTTTACATCTCAAAAGCTGAAGTTGGAGTTTTTGTTAAAAGACCTGAAACTTGGAGTATTAAACTCGAGCATTCTTGAGAATTGTATGNAAAACTATAGGAAAAAAGATGCGCAGGAGCCCGAACTATCAACTCTGTCAGGATATATGATTCCTTGTGGAAAACACGTGCAATCTGCTAACGAAACATCAAGGTAATTTGAAATTAAAGACGTCAAGCCCAAGTTTTTTTTACAAATATAGAACAAAAAAAGAGGTTTAGAGATTACAGGATTTTAAGTTTACATCTCAAAAGCTGAAGTTGGAGTTTTTGTTAAAAGACCTGAAACTTGGAGTATTAAACTCGAGCATTCTTGAGAATTGTATGAGAGACTATCCTACATCAGATTCTCAATTAAATTGTTATGTCTATCAAACATATTAAACCATGCATGATAGTCTCAATCAAATTCATATGTAGAGAATTACTATGAGAGTAAATATATACAATAAAATTGCTATAATAATCATCAATGTTTCAAAAATGCAGAAAATATATATATCTCGTAACACAGACCTGCAAATGGCTAGTAACGGAACCCAAGTCTTCGTCTCTCGTTCATGTCATCGCTATTGAAGTCAAGGTCATCAGTTTTGTTCTTCCCATAAATTATTATGAGAAAGGACCAAGGTCTTTGCACTCATATGCATCTTTTAAAGAATTCTTATCCTAAACAGAGAATTATAACCAAAATCATTAGTAGCCATACTCAAAACCAAAACCTGAGTTACATATTAGCGACTCAAAATTGAAGTCATTAGTACCCCTACTCAAAAACTAAAGTTATACCACAAAACTTGTAAACGAATAGTCACTCTTGATTCTCCATTCTAAAATCTAAGGCTTATCCCATCTAAGGCAGAAAAGCCAAAAGAGAACTGAAGATTACATAGAGAGACTAAAGGAGCCAGTGGCTAAAACAAGCTAGCTTTGAATTCTTGTTTCCATAAAGCTCTGAAGACTAAAAAACAAAAAAACAAAAAAAATCGCCTACAAGCCACAAGTCCTAAAACAATTGGAGCAACCTCCTTTCTCCAGCTTGAACCATAGTGCATGGCTACTTACACGACCCTATTGAAAAGTCTTCCTATGGTAGCATTATGCAAAGCCTAATCATAGTAGTTTAGAAAACAATATAATTCAATATAAAGTACCCAAAAGAAATACTCCGTACTTGGGTAGATCCCATTGGCATATTCAGAGGGAATGATTTATTAAAGAATAAAATCCAAAGAAACCTGCCTAAAGTCTTCACAACGGTCACCCAGATAAAAACCACAAAATCCAGGGGTTTGAATCCCACAAACAATGTAGAGTACGAACATAAACACAACAAAAAACCACTGTAATCCAAGAAGTAATTCCAAGCAATAGGCAAAAGCAAAACAAAATAACCAATGCGCAAGCTTCATTTAGGTGCTGGAGGAGAAGTTGCCCAGAAACAACCTCGGTCCATAGTAAGAAAGGTTGTGAGGTAGTGTTATACTGTTATATACCTAAAGAAGAAAGCAATTATTCAATTACTCAAATAATACAAATTTAAATCTTCCCAAATCCTTGAATATAAACAGATTAAATGACAAATTGTAAATGAACATCAACAATCAAATCACTTCAAATTACAAATCCAAATCTATTATGTCCAAATTGCAAACACACATACTGAAAACTAAACTAAACATGAAGTTCAATATAAAATTGAAAAGGAAACCAAATAGAACATATAGATTAGAAGGAATCCCAGCTAACGTTATTACCAAACCCAATTTTTTTCCCATTGAAATCTGCAAAGGCATGAACGCTGCAACTTTACCTTCATCCAGATCCATTGTGCATCTGGTTCATCTAGGTTCCTTAGTCGTGTCCTCCATCTTCCGCAGTAAATGATAGATCGTAGAGACGAGGGTAGGATTCGAAACCCTAGTGGTCTTGGAGAAGGAAGAACAAAGAAGCAAAACCTAATCAACGCATCGCCAATTTCCTGGTCACCGCCGGTCTTGGTCTGCGTCGATCGTCACTGAAGAAGTGCCGTTATCTAATTGAAGGAGTGAAAGCTCCTGGTTGATCGCCATCCTTATTCTGCTGTGAACCTACGATTGGGGTCTCTATGTCCCGTGTTTTAAAAATATACTCGTAAAAAATTACAAACAAAATCCCTCTTAAGAAGTTCATTCCCCATTTTTTGCTACGGAGTATTATTTTAATCTCCACTTATTTAGATGTAGTGGCAAATTTTTAATATTGCTACAATATGTCTTACATTTTGTTGCAAATTCTTAATTGCTACAAATATTTGTAGACCATGAGTCTATTGTGGCAACTATTTATTTTGCTACTAAAGTTTAGCTACAAAAAGTCATTTTTTTTGTAGTGGAAGGAGAGACACGTGTAGGCTTATGTGTCAAAAAAATAGAACTCTAAAACTGCCATGTGTCAAAATTCTAAGCTATCAACTCTCAAATATTATATTAAAGGATTAAATTTTGACATAGTTTTAAAGTTACAATTTACGTTACATTGTCAATAATTTTGTTTCATCATAAAAGTCGATTATTTTAATAGCATCTTGTGGAAATACTATGTTTTACTCCGTAATGTTCTAATTTGATTTACAATTGTTTAATGGCAAGGAAACATTTTTTTTAAACTGGAGTAACATGTGGCAAGATGGTTGCTAATTCTACTTTTTTTTTAACACTTTTTTTTAACTAAGCAATCTAGTCTTACGTGCGCTCAATTACAAGAAGTAAAATTAATTATGTTTATTTGGATCATTTATGTGTTGTATGTACAATTGTACAAATATTTCAACCTACGAATTTAAGATTTACTAGCTTCACAAAAATAATGTATGCAATGTATAAAATAATCACGAAATATGATTCTGAGATAGAACTAAATGTAATATGATTTTCTTGTAGTCGACTACATCATCACTTTTCTCTTACATTTTATTATAAATCAATAGATAATTTTAAACACCACTACCCAATGTTTCGTCCTAATCATAAAATTCTATTTTGTATTTTATTTGTCAACTACGATGGACTCGATCATCTAAAGCTTACTCATGGTCCATCATCAGTAAGAATATAATTGTAATTTAGTTTTTCAAATGTCATACATACACAAAAAAAATTTAACCTACAATTTAAAATTTTAATTTCACAACCGCAATACAACGATGTACACAAGGTACATAATGATCATAATACGAGGTTCAATTATAGAATTGACAACAAGACAATATTCAATATATCTAATTATTTTCATGTATGTTTCATATTTCTTTATCATGTACATTGAGTTAAAGTGTTCTCTTATTAATATTATTTCTTTTAAAGAAATAATCTACCATACTATATCTAATGACTTTCTATGGTCATTCCACGACACTATTCTTTAGTCATTAGTAAAAGAATATATATCTTACCAGACTAGAGGCGTCCCCCTTTTGTCCAGTCATAACTATTCGGTGGTACCAAACCGAATTACATCTGTGCACAGATTCTAAGATTCAAGTATGTCTCGCAACACATATATTGGCCTCAATCTTTTAATCTCATATAATACCATTATCTATATCTAAATATAAATTTAGACTATTACCACAATATCTAAATAATGTGGTAACACTAAAGCAATGTCTTCCATTTCTTTTTGTTATATTTCAACATTATCAAATCTAGGTGTATTACACAGTAATTTAAGGTCAACATAAAATACCTGCCTGGAGGAAGCATAGAGACGGGGCCGTGCCTATAGAACAAAAAAAATTCATTCTCTTATTTATTTTCCTTTAAATGTTTTTCCTCAATTCTTTTTTTTTAAAGTTAGGTCAGAAGATCATTTTATAAACCAATTTCTCTAATACCAAAATGTAACACCCCACCCTAGATGACCCGAGTCATCCAGACCAAAGTGCTAGTAAAACCCGGTTGCTTTGTAAAAATATTATTTATCTGAAAAAAAT